ACTAAATGTTTCCGAATGGCGTGATTCATGACGTCTCTTTAAATCGCACTTTATTCGCACGTGGTAGTTGTTTATTGTAAGTAGAAGTTTTATATGCGCTAAAGCGTTGAGTATTTCGGTTTATACAGTTCAGTTTTTAGAAAATAATTAGATCTTGTTAGACGTGAATTCTTTCTCTGTTTTACCGTTTCAATGTTGAAGCGTCGAAAATGCTTAACAGAGCATGAAATAGCAGAAATGATGCAAAATATTTCAGATATTGATTCTGAAATTTTGATATTCTGATTTGATTCTGAAAGATTAACTGAAAGACATTTTCCAAAACTTTGTTCAGAAGAGACTGATAAGAAAATGAGACGATGATGCTTCGTTTGTTCACATTCTCAGAAAAATCCTCCAAAACGGCAAATGAGTTATTAAGAGTTGAAGGAATGTATCGTAGGACTGTGTGTAGAACCCTGTTTTAAAATTTTTCATACGAAAAGAGAATTTTAAGTAATATATTTAGTTTTCAGAGTGTATAATGTTAAAAGTCATAAAAACGGTGAGTAATTAAAATAAAATGTGTAAATATGCATTTAAACAAGAAATAAGGTAATTAAAGTATATATATATATATATATATATATATATAATTCTAAAGCATAAGCCGTTTAAATACTCTATAGAGCATTATTAAACAATACGTTGGTACTTCGGAGATTTCATGGATTTAGGCTTAGTAGCAAAAAAGCCCCCGGCCCTGGAGAGACGCTCGCGGAAGACACTGCCGGCCTCCGCGATAAGCGCGCGTTTTCGCTACCCGGCTCGAAGGGTTAAGGCTTGTCAGAGTTCTTAATAAATAAACTCTCACATATACTTAAGACTTATTGAGGGGCGGCGATAGATATTTTACCGCCTGATGCAGCCTCTGTGGGTCTTAAATTCTGCAACCCAGTGCAACCATACGAGCCTTGGCGCTGGTTCTGGGTTTATATGAATAACAAATCAGTTATTCTTAATTGAAAAAGCTCTAAATGTAATCTTTGGATCTACAAGTATCATATTTTGTTGATGATTAGCAGCACATGGAAAGAAATTTTTGTTAAATTTTTTCCTAGTCAACATTTTTTAGTGCATTTAACTTAAATCTGTAATCATTGCCAAGCGTAATCTCAACATAAATGATTACCATACTCCTTTATTATTTAATTACTAACCCCAAAAAAATTGTTTAGGCATTGCTACACGGGTCATTACTGAAGTTGTCATGTGTCGATAAACATGTGATCATGAAAGGAAAGTAAAATAAATAATGATTTGCCAGGTTGTTATCAGATCAACCATGTATCTATGTAGAATGTTTCAGTTTGAGATGTGTGCCAAGCAGATATGCAGCAACGAAGCCAAATTACTGATCATACAAATCTATGCTAAAATAATTGTTTGTTCAATAACAAGGTATTTTATTTAGTGTCAAAATGAAATTAAGAATCGGGACTCTCCATATGTCTATTATGCGCGGAGGGGGGAATCAAATGTGCATGCATAAAGCCTACATGAAAAATGTTGTTGGTTTTGAAGTCAGGATTTTAGATCATTCCGGATATTGGACATCCGGATTTCGGACTTTGTACTGTATACTGATTTTACAAGGTATAACACTGAAACCTGGTATTATTACACTTTACTGATTTAAAAATAAATTGATCAAAATGCCATTTTGGGGGATTTTTTTTATTATACTTACACCTTTTGTATTAAACTTTTACTCTAAACATTAAATTTTGTATTTTTATCTTTTCTTTTATTCTTTATTTTGTGAAAGTAAACAGGTTTTAGACAGCAAAACTTGCACTTATTTCCCCTTAATACATCGCATAACTATGCATGCCTGTGTAAAAAAATGGTGGCACTAGGAGGGAATCTTGTACAATTTTTGTGGCAGTTAAAGGTCTAACTGTGATCATATGTGGCATCTTTTGTACAAAACAGCATTCGAGGTACATCTTGAGCACAGAATATTTCTGCCAACTTTTTTATGCCCTTGTAATACTTATAATAGTATCTTGCTCTAAAAAACATGGCTATCATAGAACATTGAAAACAGATTTATTTGCTTTTTGTTTTTACACCGCAAAGCACAGTTTGAAACTGATTATTACTAGACACACAATGTAATTAAAAAAAAAAAAATCACTAAGCACAATTTCTGTAACAATCTATAAATATCACAAAGTAATTTGCATTTCGTACTAGTAGTGAAGGTAAGTCATCAATCAAATACTTGACCACAACTACAGTTCTTCTAATTTATACTCTGCAAAATATACACTATTCACTAGATATCATTCATCTCACTAATAATTTAGGAAGACATAAAATGTTGGATAAACTTCTCATGTTTTTTTTAAATATGCTTGGAAAGAAAGGAATACCAGATAAAATTAAAAAGTTCTGCGTTATACCCTGGGCTGACTGAAAAAATGTTTTAAATGTTAAAAAATTACAAGAATATTAAGGAAGTTTCTAAAACTTCTTGACACATCAAGATTTATAGTCAATATAACAGAAAATTTATCTTTTCTCAAGCAAATATCAGTTCATCAAAATAATATAATATCAAAAAGGAGTGTTTCAATCAACCGAGCAAGTGGGGAGGTAAATGCTCTTATAGTGGTTAAAATTTTTGTGTCCATAGAGGAAAAACTAGAATTCTTTTTCCATGAAAGCTACCAATGCAAAGGGCATTTAGAAATGTGTAAATTAATTAGAAAGACAAAATCATAATGTATAAAAAATTTCTTTTTAATTTCTCTTCTCACTCGGTGATCCATTTTATATTTCTTTAAAAATTTTACAGTTAACATTTATCACTTGAAGTTTTCTCGAGTCTCCTCCAAGGTTCTGTCAAATTCTTCAAATATGCATGTACGTTCAAAACACCGAAAAGTATGCAACAAAAGCTTCTTAAAATATAAATAATGCATTTTAGAGGATATCCTTAGGGAAATTTGCTTTTATTTATGTTGCACATAGGAAATACTTAAAAAATATCTTCACCAGGAGCTGAACTGCTAGTCAAAAGATTATGACCACATGGCAGTCTTTGCAAAACAACTGAAATTTAGTCACAGAATTATTATAATAATGCATTATTTTACATTCTGTTGCCAAAAAGCTACCGTTAGTGTAATAGTTTATATGCTACTTGAGTTACATTTATCTCTTACTGAAATAACAGTCAAGAGCAGACAGTAATTATTATCTGTTGCCGTTTTTTGTTTTTGGTAAATTGCTCAGTTTTAGTGGCATGCAGAAAGAGGGGACACAGTAACCTTATTTTTCCTATCCAGCAAATATGCAAGAAGTATTTGAGAAAACACTGAATGGTACAGAAGCCTTTATTTATACATGTACAAGTTTTGGTTCACATTTAAAAAAAAACTACCTGCCAACATAAGCCAAATTTAAGAATAGTCATAAAAAATTTCTCCAATATATGAACCACTAGCAGCCTATCTACTCAACTAATCAAAATGTAATTTTAGATGTTGTTATTTTAAGGTATGCACTTGAGAAGTTATTTGAAGGCATGCAATTAAAAACAATAGAACTCTCATGGTTATGATGAGTGAAAAAATTTTGAAATTTTCGAATGGCTTTACCTACTTTTTTCCTGCATAAATTGATCAGTGCAGAGAAAAAACATAATGGTGTTTGAAAAATACATATTTGACAAAACATTTGCAAAGAAGAGCATAGTATGTGACAGTAACATTGGAGGAGAAATCTGTATAACTTCATGCTTTATGTTATGTTTCTTTACGAACAAATCTTGTGGATTTCATGTGCACAACTTAAATTTCATATAATCCCAGAATCAGAAATCCATCGGAATGAGGTTGGGGGATTGCGATGCACCCCACAAAGTTAAAGGAGATGATTCTATCTTGAAGCACTAAAAACTGGTGATCCAATAAGTTTTTTCTGTCTCCTCTCTTATCTCTTGTGTTATCACTAGTCCTTTACAATGCTCTTCTTTGCAAATGTTTTATGTCAGATATTTTCATCATATATGTATCATTCCTAAGTCATTTCTGGTTTTCCAATGAGCTGATGAATTTGTGCAGCAGATGGTGGGTGTTGCCTTACAAAAATTTTGAATTATTTTCATTAGAACCAAAACAATGAGAGCTCTGCTGTTTAAAATCATCACAATCTGAAGCGCATACTCTCGAATAACAATATCTGAAATTTCCTTTCAATCAGTTAAGTGGGTAGGCAGTTAGGGTTCATACGTTGCGAAAGTTTTATAACCACCTTAAATATTAACTAATAATTTTATTACATATAAATCATCTGAAAAATTGTCATGCTCTGAATGATGCACTCAGTAGAATGCTATATATAATCAACTGTAATAATGCTGGAATCACATTTCCCTGGGACTGCAATTAGCTTGGTTGTTTGAAATAATAGCATATCAGCCTCTTCTATGGGAAGCTTTGACAAGGAAGGTGTTTGAAAATAATTTAGTTACACTTCAAAAGTTATAGGCTCCATTCATAAAAACATCCAATGTATAACATTATATAATCTTAGAAAAGTCTTCACTAACATATTCAAAAAGTACCTACAGACAGGCAGATGTCTTTGAAAATTAGTTCCACCCTATATTTATATGAACCGATATGAGGAGGTAATTTCAATGCAGTGTTTCTCAAACTTTGCATTACCAAACATTTATATTTAATAATAATATTAATTATATGCAACACATTAGTACATTTTATTAAAAAGATGTATACTACATACATACACATAAAACATTTTTGTTAAATGCTAATAATAATAAAATGAAACAGTAAAAACTATTCATTGATAAAATTTATATGTGAAAAAAATTCGAAATCATATTATAAAACATAATTAAATATGTGTTTTTGTTCTAAATATATATACAAAATTAAGGAAGGCCTTCGTAGTATGAAAAATTATACAATATTTGAACAGTTTACCTTTTTCTTTAGCAAGAACTTCCATGTCAGATTCAGTTTTATCATTCCATGAAGTAATTCCTACATGAAGACTATAGTCACAACATACTTTACGATCTGCCCAGCTTCTCCATTTCTGGAAAGCATCCAAAGGAGATGCTTCTGGATCAATTGCAAAGTCCACTAAAATATCATAACATGGTCATTTATATAGCTCTGGGAAAGATGCAATTGTGAAAACCATTTAAAAAAATTTACTGAAGAAATTAATAACTCCTAGCAAGTAACCAAAATTCAAATAATTATTTTGCTAAAAATTAATTTTAGGGAAAATATAAAAATTTCATGGCAATTCAGTTTGATACAGAATTATATCAGATAAAAAAAAAACCACCCTTCTACAATGTGTACAACCTACATTATAAGAAAATGATAGGCTAATTTGAAATATTAGATATCAATGAATGCAGATAAAGTTGTAGAGACGTTAGGTTATTTTGAAGCAGGAGAGATGAACAACGAGCAATGCCATTGCCAGGACTCAAACCACAGACCTCTAGAATGCGCCGAGTGTGGATATCAGCTGCGATTTGATGTAAGGACCAACCCGCCCTTCTCAGTTCGATCACCATACCCCTCGTAAAATCGCCCATCTGCTGGAAGTGCCTTCGTTGACGGCGGCCTGGCATTCTCTCCAATTACATGTATCCTCTGGGACAAAAACCAACTTTCTTCAATAATTCGTCTGGCAGAAATAACGATAAGAGTATTGCCCATTCTGCACGTTCATTCACTTATATCTTACTTCACGTGCGTCGGAGAGCTGCGCATTTCACATCATTCGCATAACTCGGCGACATGAGTCTACGCTAAAATTTGCATAAATTTCGGACCACTCCTTCTTGGTGTTGCATTTTCAATGTCGAGCAGTGTATATATGTATACCTGTAAAAAAAATGCAAATCAAAATTATAATTTAAAATGCCTCTTAATTGCTCATTTTTAATTTGGGTACTTGGTCTCTAGTAATAATTTTCTCTGAACTGCATCATATCTGAAAACGTATTTTGCATTATGTCATCTTGAAACTTCTGCATTGCCTATAAGTTTTAGCCAATCAGATTAACGAAAAATTTTACTACAAATATTGTTGCAATCCTACCCCACCCTCTTTCTCTGTTCGTGCTTGCTGTCTGAAGAATGTCTCTTGCTTTGCTGATTTTGCTTAAAATGTAATGCGCCATCATCCAAATTGTGGGGTGCTGATTGCCCCTCCCCCATTATGAAGTGCCACAAGTAATAAAGGTATATTTGGAATACCAAGTGATTTTTGCAATTCTTCAAAAGTTCCCGACTGCCAAACTAAATTTTATCATCACAGTAAAGAGTTGACAGGACTGATGCTAACTCCAATGGATAAAAGTACCTGAAAACAATGACGTCAGTGAAATGTGTTGATTCCAGAATCAGGATTAACAGTCTTCACGTGATTAAAATGTGTGCCGTCGAAAAGTATTTCCATCAGCAAAATCACTCTGCCTAAAGTATAAATATTTAAAGTTAAAAGAAATCCATTCTTAAAAATTAATATAGAGTAATGTAAGTGAATTAATGTGTCCGAAGGTTCCGAGTTTATTTCAACAACGCAATCTAATGATTAACGAGGTCAACGTTCTTTCTGTGAATAATTTATTACTACAGCTTTCATCATGTAATTTATGCAACAGCAAAATTCTTCATTAAAAGTTAGTTCAAAGTTGCTTTTCTCGTCCAAACTGAATTGCAAAATGGGAATGATTTTTCTTGAACGATTTATTCATCAACTTCTGATTCAACTTTTTCTTAACAAAAGGTTTTATTTAGTGCAACAAAAAATATCTAATTGTTAATCAATGTCATTTTATTAAAAATCTAGATAAGCTGTTTTCTGTATTGTACAGAGTTTTTAAAATGTTGCATCTTTTTATGAAGAGTAGAATTTTATGGTATCAAAAATTCAATTTTCATAATTATGTTTAATAACGAATTTAAGATTAGTATACATTTTATTTATGGAAGGTTATTAATATGATTAATATATTTTTACATTATTAATATTCTGATTTTTTTATTTTAACAAAGAAATTTTTGTTTAAAAATTTGAATTATAAGAAAGAATTTTCTAATCATTTTAAGAATGAAGTGACAACTTTGAAATCTCCCACTTTTTTTTCATATATAGTAATAATTATTTTTTTAATATAATAGTGTAGTTAATTTTTAAGTAATGGAATGATAGAGCAGTTCAAAAAGGCCAGTAGCCTCTATCCAAGGAACGTAGGTCTTTTATATTGTAACTGCCAATGTGGCATTCTTTTTGCACTAGTGCAGAATAAATACACCAGTTCGCTCAGTTGGATATGCCAATATGACATGATGGATATGTTAGTATTTAGAGAAAGCTGTGGAGTCTTCAGGTTTTGTAAAAAATAAGTAAACTATAAATATCTAATAATAGTAAAAAGCATAATTTCAACAAAATATTTCAAATAATGTTTCGAATGATGAATTAATTACATTATAGTATTTTGAAATTTCTTGTAATTTTGTAACAATTTATAGATGTATTTTAAATTTTTATACTTGAATAGTTAAAAGTAACCTTCCCTAAGCAGGTAAAATTATGAAATTTGTCTGTAAAAGAAAATCTGTTTTATTTTGACAACAATTTTTAACAAAGATTTTCAAGTCATGGATTGCAAAATATGATTATGATACTCAAGTAAATATTCTAAGAACAGTGAACTTTTACTGTTTAGGACTTTTTTTACAGTAGGTTTACAGAAAAATGAACTTGCAGACTTTCAAAATTTCAGTATCATTTTAAATTTACAATGCCATTTTTAATTTCTTGTTAAAAAATGATATATACAAGATTTTGTTATTTTAAAACAGTCAGATCAAAATTTTATAATTATTTTTTTTAAATTGTTCCTTTGTTTCCTTACTATTTTAATACTTTTTCTAAAAAGGCTTTTCTGTTGCCAAGCCTTTTTTTCTTTGAAAGGGGATATGGGGAAAAAAATCAAAATTATAATTTAAAATGCCTCTTAATTGCTCATTTTTAATTTGGGTACTTTGTCTCTAGTAATAACTTTCTCTGAACTGCATCATATCTGAAAACGTATTCCACATTATGTCATCTTGAAACTTCTGCATTGCCTAATAAATTTTAGCTAATCAGAATTAACAAAAAATTTTACTATAAATATTGTTGCAATCCTACCCCACCCTCTTTCTCTGCTTGTGCTTACTGTCTCTTGCTTTGCTGCTTTTGTTTAAAATGTAATGCGCAATCATCCAAATTGTGGGGTGCTGATTGCCCCCCCCCATTATGAAGTGCCACAAGTAATAAAGGTATATTTGGAATATCAAGTGATTTTTGTGATTCTTAAAAAATTCCCATCTGCCAAACTAAATATTATCATCACACATATATTTAGCAATTGAAAATTTAGTATGATCAGCAAAAAATTTTGATGTGGACTGGTTTTCAACTTAAATCTTTTAAACATTAAATCAGAACTTGCAGTGTTCAATAGGTTTTAGAGATGAAATGCTAGAAAAGCAAGAATGGATTCATGAAAAGTTTGGTAGGCAGTCCAATTATGCAATGAATTATTCTTAAAACTTTTACAAGAAGTCAGTTCTGATCCAAAAACTTAATATGTAGTTTTGAGCAATAAGAATAAATTTCAATCTGTGCAGCACTCAGATGAATGTCCAACAACGGTTTCCACAAGCAAGTTAAAACAAATTTAATGTCTTGTTGATACTGGATTATACTTTAGTCTAAAGCTATCGATCTTTTCTGTTTCTGCATAAGACAAACAGCAAAATTAGCTTTTTGTACAAGATAAATTTAGTTTGCTCAGACGAGAAGTTTGACCAGTCGCTTAATTTGATACTCTAAAAGCTTTAAATTATGTAATCATCAAGTGCTATATTTGTCCTAAAGCAAAATTTGAAAAGAATTGATTTCTCAGATTTACGGATTAGAGACTACATTTTGCAAATCTGGAAATACCGAATTTGAGAAAGTAAAAAATCTGGAATTCTTGTTATATCCAAACCACAATCACCCCTGTTAAAGTCATCAGATGAGTTCAAAATTGATTTTAAAAAACTACCTGGTAACAGATATCATCAAGTCAGGGATTAAGTTGCCAAACAGCTTTGTTCTGATTTTAGCCAATCATTTCAAATTAAGCCCCTCAAATTTTAGTTTGACACAGATTTTCAATAACTATCAATTTTGAGAAGATCAGATTCAGGTTCCTCCTCTTCAGAAGTAAAAAATATTTATGCAGAATCCTCCCCGCCCTCCGATAAGAATTCTCTGAAAACACTGATGACAAACTAATGTTGTCTTTTAAATTTTACATTGGCAAGTTCTCTTCCAGTGAGGGATGCCCTCCAAGTATAAGATTAGGGGCACAGCATTGGTCAAATAATTTACAGAAACATCATAAATAGTCCATGAATAAATTTCTGCATTTTCCTAGCCTAAATGCTGTGAAAGTACCTATTTATGTTTCAAGTTATATTTATATTAGAAAAATTCCAATACTATTTTGAAAGCTATTCTTTTTACACCACTTAATGTTCATAAAATAGCCATGGATAAATGTGATCACATTAAGTGGCACCTACTGAGTAGTCAGTCAGATTATTAAAATTGCATAGCTGAAATTGAGAAATTTTCTTTCTGAAAATGCATTTGATAAACTTTTTAAAGAACAGTACAGTATTATTTTCAAAAGCACACCCACTTAATTTCATTTGACAAAATATTTCATATACAGGTTTAAAACTGTTCATGTTTCATAGTCTGCAGTAAATTATGATTGCTTCTATATACACCTCATATTTACCCTTTATAGAATAGTTTATAGTGTGATGTACTAGAATGTGATTTAGCATTAGAAAAATATTTCTTATGTTTTATGTAAAATAAATATCCTATATTTATTCATGGCTATTCTAAGTGTAAAAGAAACAAAAATTTAAGTCTAGAATAAATTTCTACCAATGGATTACTAATTTATTTACAAATTAAGCATTAATGAAATTTTATAACACAGAAAATGTTTTATTTCAATTTTAACACCTTATTCACAGTGTATATTGATAACGGAACGGTCCTTAACCTTTTTTATCCCATGTACTCCTTTCACCACTGCTAGACAATCATTTCCCCTTCTTTCCCAAATTAAAAAAGTACATGCATAGTTATTTAAATTTAGATTATTTTTACTGCATTTTTTGACTTAAGCAAGAAAACATATAGGAAATGTTGATATATACCAAAACTTATAAAAAAAGATTTTTAACACTCATAATACTACATAGCATCATCCATTAGTAAGATGGTAATTTAATGATAAATCATGTATTATAAAGTTAAGCACTGATGTGTAATAAATTAAGCATTTACTAACTGATCATGGTGGTTCCTCCAGCAAGTGCAGCTCTGCTTCCACTGTAAAAGTCATCAACTGAAGTCACACCCATAAATGGGAATTGAAAATGTGTATGGGGGTCAATCCCTCCTAAAAAAGAAAGAAAAAGAGAAGTGTATTTTAAAGAACTATATACCATCTGAAACTGGTTATAATGCATACATATAGATACAAGTGAAATAAATTTCAAATTAAATTTCACGACAAAATAAATTCTAATATGAAAGCTTAAAGAAGTTACTGAAATGAAGTAAAAGAGCACTTGATTGAGTGTGCATTATAAATAAATTAGCTAATGTTTACAAACCATAAAATTTAGACAAAAATGTACTTACGCAAATATAGTAAAATCAGCAAAATATTATCAGTAGCAGATAAAATTTTAAAAACACTGTTATTACTACCATGAAATGAATTTGAAAGGGTGCTCTACTGGCTGCTTGGAAATAACATTTAGATTCCAAACAATTGTTGATGGTTTACTGCTTCCATACTTGCCAACCTATGACACTCAAAAATCAGGAGATTTTTTTTTTTAAGAAATCAGGAGATTTTTTTTAAGAAATCAGGAGACTTTTTACAATATTAAAAAGACTTTCTAAATGATAAAAATATATTTTTTAAAAATGAATTAACTTTAAATAGATACTAATTCTTAAATACAAGCAACACAAAAATACCATACCTTACACATAAAAACATTTTTATTACTTGCATCGTTAAAGGGGGAAAAAAAAAAAAAAAAAAAACAGACACTTTAATCTGTTTTTGTACAAATGATATGAACAGCGCCACATTTTGCTTTCGTTAAGAAAGAAACTTCATAATTTTATTCATAGCAATTGCCACGTAGGCCTGCTTTCGCTAATAAAAGTTTTTCTAATGTGTTATCACTAATATTAGATATAAATTTAGTCCTCGTTTTCGCAACAACAATCCTCTCAAACTCTGCATTATTATGGGGAACTGTCAAGATGGTCAACATAATTTTAGACAGCTAATTAGCTGATTTTATAACTTCAAGTTTTCTAATTGTAAACTGCAAAATTGCGACTGCAATATTATTAGCAGCAACATCAATATCATCATCTTTCATGACTAAATGAAGTAACACAAAAAATCTGTTCAAAAAGTACCTTATATCAGAAAAAGATGCATTTGCTAGAGCAGAAACATCAGCAATTTTAGCATGCAAAATCACTTCGTTGACTGGAAATTTATGTAGTATGTAATCGCATACTCGACAGAAGTAACTTTTAACATGAAGATAAAACTTATTTTTGTCTTCTGAAAGTTCTTCCACTACTTTTGTAGCTGCAGCTCCTATTACCAAATCTTCATCTTTCTTCTAATTTTCTATTTCACAATAAATCACATCATATATAGAACTACAAGACAAAACACAGACTGGCTTTACAAACTTTAATAAAATGTTATAAAAATAGCTATGATAGATTTTTTTAAAGAGTGCGCGCAAGTATGAAAATCACCATTTTGAGAAAACGGTTTTAAAGTTTCAAAATTTTAATTTATATTTTCTCAAATAATACAAAAACAGTTTAAAACTGCCCAGCTGCAAACACCATACCCTCCTGTTCTTCAATAGCTGTTACTGCAACAAGTTTGGCTCTTTTTCTTGCTCTGTGAGCATCTATTGTAAACGTCTCTGCCTTTATTTTGGTTGACTGAATATGATGTTGATCAGTGTCTGCTGCAAACTTGACTGCATTATCACCAATTTGGTATCCAAGTTCATTCATAGTATGTAATCGCCCAGATTGACCATCGTTGTACATAATAACTGCCTCATTCACTGCTGTCTTAATATTATAACCACACCAGGAATTTTTAGGACACAAATTCCAAATCAAAGCATTCAACGATTCATTTGGATTCTGTGCATGTCCTCCTAAACACGTTTTTAGTAATAATCACAAGCTAAGATCATTAAATATATCTTTGGTAGCATCCATTACAGGTGGTGGAATTGAATTTTTATCTTTGTACGATTTCAGATTTTCACTCACACTCACTCTTTGATATGTACACCATGTATCCTCCCCTGTTGGGCAAAAATTATGAGTAGGTTCCACGTCAGTTGAACGTTTGTGGTAAAATATTGCCCACACTGCCTTTTGCATATCTTTTACAGAACTGCAATGTTTTCCAATAGCATTTCCATAATAAATTGCCAATTGGGTTATATTGTTATCCGCAAGGCGACCTTTTCCACTGAGAGTCTCTTCATTTCTTGTTTTCGCTTTCTTAATCTATTACCAATATATATGATGTTAACAATAAAAATTAAAGCAATCTACAAGCTAATATTCATCAACAACTGCATGTACAAATATAAACAAATGTTAGGTGATGATTTAATTGTCCGATCTGGCAATATTTACCTCAGAATCGTTTTCTTTATTTCATAATTTTCAAGGTTCTAATTCGAATATCTTAACGCCGTTTGTTTTAACAGACTCAGAAATGTCTACAGCTTCTTAAAAAAAAAATTTAATGTATAAAGGTGATGACTCCCCTTAAGCTAAGTTCCATAAAAATCATGAGAAATTTTAAGAATAAGAAAAAGTCGAAAGAGATATATTGTAAATCGGGTTGGCAGGAGAGCGGTCGAAAATCGGGAGTCTCCCGCCCAAATCGGGAGAGTTGGCAACTCTGTGCTTCCATTCACAAACAGTTATGATTATCAGTCTCCTAATAATATGCATCAAATACTCTCATATGACCACACAGCATATGAGAGCCTTTCATACCATGAACAGCCAACTTTATTCTTTAACATTTCATTTCTTCAGCCTACTTGTGAAACAGGATATCCACTCAGAAATTAAAATAATGACACTACAAATTTCTGGATGAGGTTTTTGGAAAACATACATGTATGACTTGAACATGAATCTAAAATGTATGGCCTCTTTGTTCTTCAGATCTCATACCAGCAGATATTTTTACATGGCAAAAGAAAAAAATTTCTAGCATATCACGATCACCCACCAAGCAGTATCACGAAGAAGGAGGAGCCTGTTAGAGAGATTATAAGAATTTTGCTTCAACTGTAAGTCATAATCAAAAGACTAGAACCATATAAATGCTTACTGACAAGTCCCTTCACTGGAAGAAAAATTAATGACTTCATAGAAATTACCACATTTATCGAAATGTCATAAAAATGCAATAGTAATATTTAACATTTTTGTAATCTCAGCATCTAAAAGTGCAAATTCTCACTGACATGCCTTAGATGCATTTGCCAACAATGAATGAAAGCTTCAGATTGCATGCATTTTTTAGTACAATTAATAATTTATCAATCTCAAGTTTGTCATGGTCCTTTTGTTTTCAGCCACTCTGGACATGTGATATGTGCCATCTCAGCACAATTTCTTTTGGGTAATAAACAAAAATATATTTAACACATTGACTGCCAGTCACGTGGCAATGTACTGATAGTTAATGCTCCTGGGTGGAAATGGAGGTTTCTCCAGAAGGCCACTTACTTTTTATAACAAATATGCTTGAAAAGTGGTAATAAAACATAATTATGGGAATCATACTGATTACTAAGTAATATTTAGGCCTTATTTGATAGAGAATATTTTGACTACACTCTAGTGCGTGATAGGCACTAGGGATAAAATTATTTCCTAAATGCCACATTATGAGCTGGCATGCAACGTGTAAAAATGAAACAAAATAATGAAAATAAGGAATAAAATGTTGTAGTAAAACAGACCATGAAAGTTGCAGACTATCTGAGCATAACTGCAGATCAGTTGCACACTTTCATGGCATGTCTTCCCAACAGGAAATGAAATATGCCAGCAGGACAATGCCGCATGCGGGGTTGCCATTCAAACAAGAGAATGAAATTCCCCCGATATTTCTAGGTTTTCCAGGTGTGTTTTAAGAAAATTCCAGGCTATACGCTTAGTGCACACTGGCTGTGCTGAGCGTAAAATAATTATGGTACGACTTGAAAACACAAAAATTTGCCAATTACACATGACTTGAGATTGATAAATTATAAAATCCCCAAAGCATTACTTTTATAACTATAATAGTTTTCTCCTCTGAGGATAGCGATTAGAATCTGCCCAACCAAGATTTAAAAATGCCTTTTCTGCAGGCATTTTCCAGCTAAGAAGAAATAATATCTATTTAATTATATTTTTAAATAAAGTATAGTATGTCATATTACTGCTAGAATTAGTTTCACAAATAGACCACAAATATGCCAGAGAAAATTGCCTGAAATTTGACAGTATTATTAAATAATAGTAAATAAATTTAGAAGCAGGAAGACACATTAAATTTCATGAATAACATTAAAACAAAGTTAATTACATAAGGATTAAAAACTGAATTAAAAAAATTGATGGTATTTTGAATATAGATATATTAAATGGTTAGCCTAGATGACTGGCTGTTATTTTCTTTATTTTACTGCAAAATGACAAAGCATATAAGAAAGAAAAGATTTAATTTTATATGAGAATGGGGGGGGGAAATTTAACTTTCGTTTAACATCCACTCCACAAGTGCATGTGGATTACTGGATTCTCGAGGTTACTGGAAACTTCCTTTGCCTTTCTAAAAGACAATCTGATTGGCGCTAAAAAATTGGTTCTAAGCCACTTGTCCGAACGGTGCTTATGCGATACATGATTCGCCAAGGAAGTATTTCCTTCCGACACTGGCATGAAAATCACTTTTTTACGGGCTTGTAATATGGAATTCCCAGACGTTTCTAGATTTTGACTAAAATATTTAAATTTCCTGGTTTTTTTGGTCTATTTTTAAATTCCCTGCTTTCTTCTTTTTCCCGGTTTCCCAGGTAGCGTGGCAATCTTGCCCATGTCACAAGGCTCAAACTGTTTTGGAGTGGTTTGAAGAGCATATGGATGAATCTCAATGTCCTGGCCACCTAACTTGTTGGATCTTAACCCAATAGAGCACATTTAGGATGTCATGGAGTGGCAGCTCAAACACCACCATGTCGGAATATCTTGACTTTGCATGACTATTGCTTAGAATTTGGTACAACCTGTCTCCAGTCATCTACCCATTACTTGTGGCATCCATGCGAAGGAAAGTTGCAGCAATCTGATTGGTGCTGCGAAAACTGGCTCTATGCACAAGCAT